CTTATCTGCATATACACACGTTATCTCTCACTCCCTTCTCCCAGAAATTTCTAGCCTTCTCCCCATATATACCAAACCCATTTTCCTTTCTTCCCCTCAGTATCTTCTCTTCAATTCCTGAACTTTTCCACCAAAAATAAGCAATTATCTCTGTAAAATAAGCAAGGAAGGTGTAAAAAGAATGGACAGTAGCAATCAGTTCTGGCAATTTAGCGATAATCTGCGTTTACAGACGAACAATTTGGCAAATCTGTCGCTGAATGATTCGATATGGAGCACCAACTACACCTCTAAGCGGCCGGTGGAGGAGCGGCAGAACTTTGATATAAGAGTCGGCGGGGAGTTGAATTCAGTCAATTTGATCAATCCAGGTTTCAATCCAGTCAACAATGATTTGAAATCCGATTTTAACAATTTCAATGTCGGATTTAGCAACGATGGCTGGAAAGCTGGTAACAAAAACTCTGGGTTAGGGTCTGTCGGTCTGAACGGTGGGTTCAATAAAGGAATTTATTCGAGCCCATCACTGAATTTCAATAAATTCAACAAGGGCAAGAATGTTCATAATACTAATGTGGTGGTGAATGGGAAAGCGAATAAGGGAGGCAAAAATGATGAGGAAAATGGGCACAGCTCTCATGGCGGAGGAAAAATTGGGAAGAAAAATAAGAACAATAAGGATAATACTAATAATAATAACAATGGTGAGAACAAAAGTGCTTCAGACAAGAGATTCAAGACTTTGCCTCCCTCCGAATCGTTGCCGAGAAATGAAACTGTTGGTGGCTATATTTTTGTCTGCAATAATGATACAATGCAAGAGAATCTCAATCGCCAGCTCTTTGGTAAGTTTTTTACTTTCTGTTTTTAGAATTCAATCGCCATCTTTTATTATTCTTGCAATTTTATACTGTGCTTAAATGCATTTTTTGGTGAAGAATTTTTTTTTTGTTTGATGTGTTAATTTGTGTCGTTTAATATTGTGAACTTGACGTTTTAAAGATTATGGCTTTTGTATTTTGTTGGGTCTCCGATATCGTTTTGATGACCTGTGGATGCGTTTTAAAGATTGCTTGATGTCATTCGTTAGATCTGTGGTTGCGTTTAGGTTTTTTGTCATTAATCCAGGTTATATTCACTTGGGAAAGTTTTAATATTAGGGGTCATTGCGAATCTGAAATTCGTTCGAATTTCCAGATATTGAAATTAGTTTGTGGGATCTTAATCATGAAATGAGACGATGAAGGCAAAATACATACATTTGAAGCTGAGATTTGTTTGTCTTAGTTTGTGTTTCAAAGTTTGGGTTTTCTGGTATTTGAGTGTCGTGCTTTCATTGTTTGTCCATCTCTTAATGTACTCCGATAATGAATTTTCAGGTTTGCCTCCTCGCTACAGAGATTCAGTCCGAGCAATAACTCCAGGATTGCCTCTCTTCCTCTACAACTACTCAACCCACCAACTCCATGGAATTTTTGAGGTTCGTTTTTTGTTTTTATTAAGATGAAATCTATCAATCCATACTTCTTGCAATCAGATGAAGGATAGGCATCCAAAATCTAGAACACACGATCCAATAAATACTAACCTTACATGCCAACAAATCTTTTCAGGCTGCAAGCTTTGGTGGCACAAATATTGATCCAACAGCTTGGGAGGACAAGAAAAACCCTGGGGAATCGCGCTTCCCGGCTCAGGTGCGTTAACTAGCGGACCTTATTCCTGTGTACTGTTAGTAAATTTTTTTTAATCTGTAGTCTTCAATCCCAATATCTAACCATAATTTTCATGGGATGTGTAGTCGTTTTAGGTGATTAATACATATTATATTAGTTGGGAATTACTACTATATGATTTCACTATGAACATGTTAATGATCTTTGTATATTACATGAGTTTGAGATTTACGAATGTAAAATGTTTCCAGGTTCGCGTGGTAACAAGGAAGGTTTATGAGCCTTTGGAAGAGGACTCTTTCAGACCAATTCTACACCACTATGATGGTCCTAAGTTTCGGCTTGAACTGAATGTACCCGAGGTAATTTTTCTTTAAGACTCACATCAGTCAACAATATTCTTAGAACAAAATGAATCAGCATCAAAAACTCGACCTAATGTTTTATTTTGCACATTTAATGTTCCAGGCGATCTCCCTTTTGGACATTTTTGCAGAAAATGATCCTTGAACACACGGCACTGAAAGTACAGACGAACGCTATACAATACACGGGAGAAGAACATATTAGTGTATAGGATGATTAAGAGGAGTCTTTACTGTATTATGGGAAGGCATCATATGCTGTAGAAAATAATGAAAAGGGATTTGAAACATGCTTGAATATGTATCTTCGTATGGTGGTTATACAAAGTCCTATGTTGTGTGATAGCAAATGCAGGTAGTAAATTATATAGCGGCATTTGGAAACATATCTTTTTGTTCTACGCGAATTGTATACTTTTAACTATTCATTACCCTTAAGAAACCATTCAATACTTCGCAAAAAATTTGATCGCACCTATAGGAATTTCCAAAGTCGATTCAAGCAAAATATGAACGGTTGTATAATGAGTTAAGCTATTCATACTCAATGCTTGTAATAATCATCCTTATGTGACAGGTTGTAATTTCAGGCATTAACTTATTATTTGAGACAACAGAATTACAGGAAATTAATGTTTCAAATAACAAGCTGTCACAAAGTATTACAATTGTGGTATCTGACTATGAATATCATTATTCATCGTATATAACATTAATAACACATTTAACTAAGATGTGATTAATAGAGCGGTAAAAGAGGGCTTTGTTTTCCATGATGGTTGATGTAACCATAGGATGGCCCCGAGGCCCCCGACCCCAGTTTGGAGCTACTTGACTCTTGTTTGGCTTGGCAATGGCTTAGGTTCAGGACGGGTAGTAATGTAAATTTAGTCTTTCTTATGTTAGTGATTACAAGACTTAACTCTAGCTCTGCGTCTTGCATACTCATCATTTTCTTTATTAAATCTCGCCGTGCTTGCTTGAAGTCGCCCGATAGGTGATTTTTCTACATTGGTTAGGTCGAAATCTCTAGAAAAAATGTACGGGACGTGGGTGTTTAGACTTTGGAGATTTAAACCGTTTGACACGGCCAGGCATAGACATGAATTGTGGCAGGTAGGAAAATTTTAATTTTGGTTAGAAAGTCATCTATCCCACTTATCTTTGCCCTCACGGGACGACAAGTTCAACGTCAATAATAAGAGTCGTCAAAATTGATGATTATTTATAAGTCTGGTTCGGTGGCACCGCCTATTCACTATGGGAATAAATTTATAATTGACAAATATTTCTAGTCTTTTGAATTGGTCAACTATAATATGTACACATTTATCTCCAACCAGCCCCAACCAAATACCACGGGTTTGTATTTAAGTATATGCCTTTGTCAAGTTGGGTGGATGTTATTGGTTGTCTATACTTGTTCTTTAAGTAGACCAAGTCACGATAAATATTGTGTAGGGAATGGATGTGATGTAGATGTCGAAATATGATTGGCTTCGGTATTTTGCCGATCGGATTATGAACGAATTGGAGCGTTCTAACAATTTGACATAGTTTTAACTTCTGATTGCAAAAGTTTGCTTAAGATTAGTGTAATCTAAAAGAATTGGAGTGATTTATATGACATAGAGTTTTAAGTTGTGATCGAAAAAGTTTGCTTTAGATTGAGTGTGAGTTGCACACTACTATCTATGACTTGTGATGGTGTGAGAGAGAATGAGTAATCAATCTTAGTCCAAAATGTGCACATAACGGCATTTAAAAATATTACTAAAGAACGTGAAACATTTCGTTCATTATATTGTCGAGTCATGTTCACTATTACGTACCGAATATGCCTGGGAGCCGTAACTCAGCTCTGATTTTGTAGTCTCGGCTGATCAAAACGTAACATATTTGTACTCCAACTAAAATTAAATAGAAACAATTAAACAGTGCTAAAGATAAACAGGAAGATGATGAGAAACTAATTGTTTTTCTCTTTATATAATGCCTGAAACTGTTCAAATATTACAACCGAGACACCATTTTTTTTTTTTTTACAATATTTTCTCCTTTGAGCAAGAGGCAAAATAAATGACAAATTCTGCACTTATATCATGAATCTCCTGGGATTTTGTTTCTTCATGCTGCAAAATTTTACAAAGGGAACAAACTACTACTCATTTGAGTTGAAATTGCAGGGAAACATTATTTCGAGTCTAGCCGACACCAATCAATGAAAATTGTGCACGTGTTAGATATCTACAAAAAGTCAAATCTATCATGCAGGTGAAGGAGAGGATGAAGACATAATTCATACGAAAAAATGTATCCCTTTTCTAATAACTAAAGCTTTTAGAGGAGGTGGTTAAGTAGATAGCACATGTTACCTCTCAAGAAAAAATGAATCCAGCCCGTAGGGTATGGCTGTAGGGGGGAGGTGTTGAAGACACAATTCAAATAAATGTGTCCTCTCCAGATAGTTTAAGCTTCTAGATAAGAATATCGACAATCTTCTAACTAGACAAGTGCATTCGAACGTAGAAACCCCAATTTCTAGTGAAGCTAAACAATTCTCCATGAAGGCGAAAATATGGAAAGAAAGGAAGGCATAATCAAAAGTTGAAATCCTACTAGACTGAGCCCGTATTTGTCTCACATTCTTTCAAAACTCTTTTTTCTACGTACTCATTTTCAAACATACATTCACACAATAAAATATTCTACATGTAAACCCTAAACTTTTTCTTACTTTTCAACTACACATTCTCCAAAAAATCACTATTTAAAACAATATTTTTCTAAAAAATGGCCACCAAACAGGGGCTAAAATCAACCCGAGAAGAGAATCAACATCGTAAGTAAGAAGCGGAATAGCTTCACTTAGCAGTAGTTTTTCTTTCTTCTGGTCATTTGGGAAGTAACTGATACTTCACATGAGATGGATGGCAAAGCTTAAAATCCAAAAGAGAATTCAATGCCTTTTTCAGCAGTACACCATACAACTGAAATAAGCTGCTTCTTTTGTAGAAGAAGCAAGTCTGAACATGCGACCTCATTTGAATCCTTCTTGAAGGAAATAAACAAGGCCAATGTTCAAATATGAGACATGCTGTCTCTGTTTAAAGTGATAAAAATAAATGATATAATGATGTAAACAGAACACATTCCAATACAACTGGAAAATCATCAGTAAGAGAGTTGAAAGGAGCTAGTTATCAATGGACTTTAAAATGAATGAAGATGTAATTACACATATAAAGCTGGTAAACTTTATCTGAGTTATGTAGTTTGTCCTTGTCACAGTACATTGGTGGCGTGTTTGGCACACCATACTACATTAAAGTCGATAGGTATGCCTGTGGGGTGGATTTGATAGTACAAAGAAGAAAAACATTTCAGCTATGAAGCACGAATACAAACATAACTTTTCAAGTAGGACAATGAACAAATTTATGAAATTCTCTAAAATCATACGGTTTTATTTTATATACTTACTTTCATAATTCTTACTTTTTAGTAAGAGTAACACATTGTTTTGGCATTATTTCTGAATTTGAGTGACTTTGTGGCATTAAGATAACTTCAGGTCGTACTTTGTATTAATAGTGGTTAATAAAATAAAGTATTCATGTGTAATTGACATGTCGAGGTGTTAAGGACCGCAACTATTATTTTTGTAAGTTTTAATTTCCTTTCACTTGTTAAAAATATATATATATATATATACACACACACACACAAACCATGATATTTGTAAATATTTATTATAATTCCTCAACTTTTAAATGTCTATTCAATTACTTAGTTGTTTCTTACTTAAGCTATTATAAGGGTAATTGGATTCGAAGTCTAGTGTCAAGGTTTCTAGTGTTCGCCCCCTACACGAGCAACTGTAATTTAGTGCTTTTGTTAATCAATGAACATACTAATTTCACTACATCAAAATCTTTTATTGCAAAGCTTTCTTTAATTGTTTTTTTGTCCCAAATTGATTCGAGAATAGATAGAAGGTATTCTAGCAGAGCATGCTATTGCTGCACAGTGCCTCTTTCTACACTAGAAGGAACGGTACCCCATGATAACCCATGTTAGAAATTAGAAAATATAAAAAACACACCATATGTTGCGGCAGACACCATAAAGGTTGTGAGACACATTGAGAAACCATCCCTCGCATTGGTTAGAATTTTGAATAAAAGAACATGTCACATGGCATGTCGGACACACATCTCGAAGTTTCGGGGTGTTTGATACGTGTCAAGCACCTAGGGGAGGTTCCATGGGTCAGCACACTCAGGTATCATAGTGGTATTATTTATCAATGGAGCAAAAATTAAAGTAAAAGGTAGCTTAAAACTACCTATTCAGCTGCGTCACTGGTTTTTTTGGATGTGCCTCTCCCACTTCTCCCCGAGGTAACCTCATCCATGCTTTGCCCAGTTCGTCTGAACCTCCCACCGGAAGCCACAAATGCTGGACAAGGCCTATAAGCCTTTATTGGCCACCAACCAAAGCCTGGAACTGTTGCAATCCCACCTTGTATCCTTCCCTCACCATTACAGCCTCTCTCAATCTCCTCTCTTCCACATGCCTTACAACCCCTGCTGAAAATTACATATGCAGACAAGATAGTATTATTATCTCAAATCAAATGCCAGTACATTTTAAAATAGCAAGAACTTTCAATAAAATAAATTGGAATCACTCAAGAGGCCAAACTCTGGTAATAAACCTTCTTTAGTTCCTACCTCAAATGGTGATTTCCTTCTCTCTATTGGAAAGTATGCTTTGAACTCTATCTCAAAAGGTAACAACTTTTTCATCTAGTATCATGCACGAAATAGCTGGGATTTCATTATTGCCGGAGCATCACATTCACTCTGATTTACTTAAAATGAAATGATTCAAGTCTAATCACTGGATATGAGCATGTGTTTCTAAGCTTAGATATTACTTTTAAGTAGATTTTTGTTTACCAAATATGTTTAAACTTTTGAAAAGTTACTTTTTGAAGACTTTCAGACTTCAGTTCTTACTTGCTAAAAAGTACTTCTATTTTTATTTTTTAGCAACCTTAGTCTGAATTTCACAGTAGCAAATAAGGCCATAACTCATGATAAAAAGAACGGGAAAAGAAAAAAGAGAAGGCATTCAAAATACTTCACATAAAGGATCTCAATTGCATAATAGTCCTAAGTTTCAGTTAAAAAATTAAGGCACACATTTTGGTATATGTTGCAAGTATTAATGAATTATTTTCACTAAATTAACAAAAGAAAAAGATGAGTATCTACTGCAAACTACAAAAAGAGTTCTCAATAGAACCGTGCTGTTTATAGAATTACATCCATAAACCTATGTTCTCAATCAATTCGAGGACAGAAAAAGGTACTACTATTTAACCAGAAAACATAATCTAACAGGGATATAATTTCGTTCAGTGTAACGTCATTAAAACATTTCTAGGACAAGAGAAAGGCTGAGGGAGCCAAAGGAAATGGAAAGAAAATATTGCAGAAGTAATATTATATTGTGTCATACAACAATTTCTGAATGCTACATTGCTCGTGAAAGGCATGAATTTTAGTCCATAAGTCACGTTGATCACCCTTTCCATTGTTATTTGTTCCCACAACTTCGGACCAGATTAACCCCTTTGAATTAGCTGATCTTACAAGATTGATTGGTGGGCTGGTTGGGAAGGGGTGATTAGCTGAGAAAAGAATCGCTGAGAGATAGATGTTTATTTGACAACATTTACCAATTGTGGTAAGATAACTTTATCTCGCTATGGATTCAAGACCCTCAGACGATAAAGAGATGCAGCTCAGATAGAGGGACCAGAAGCTGCTTTGAAACCAGAGTTTACAAACCAATTTAAAGCGTGAGTTCTAATAGAAGTAATTGCATTATTTGTATCATAAGAGGCGCCCATTGTGAAGGACCTTGATGTGGATAGCGGACTGGACGACCAGTAGAATGCTAGTTAAAGAGAAGTAACTTTTAACAACCAGTAAGCGTGTGTTGGGCATATCGAGTTGCCTCCAGTTTTAACTAGTAGTTAATTCTGCTACCTAAATTGCTTGTAACATTAACATAATTTATTATTTGCATATGATTACAAAACAATCCAGTGAATAATTATTGGAACAGGAATCATATATAGAACAAGCTATGTAGAAACTGGGTTTCAAAATTCAATTTCACGCACCTGAGAGAAGAGAGAGAATGAGAATCCAGTGCGGATTCTGATTGGACAGGAAAATTATCGTCCGTAGGAGGAGACCCAGTTTCCTCTTCTTCTACAACAACAGGAGATGAAGATGAAGAAGAAGAACATGGGGTGTGAATCGGAGTTGGTGAAGAAATTTGAGCACGGCCAATACATATAGATAAAGTTGAGCACTTATTAGTGTATACAAGTTGTTTAGGTATTATGGTGAACTTTTGGGACAGTGGTGTTGGTACTGAGAGTGAGATGACGGCGGCGTTGCAGCCGCGGCCGGTGGCGTTGCCTGCCATTCCTTCTGTGTCTCTGTCTCTCCACTGGATTCTTGGAGAGATAAGTGGGGTAATACTAGCCAGAAGTTCTTTTTCTCTTTGGGCAGGGACTGTTTCGTACTGATTTTGCAAGTACAATAAATTGTCGAGGTAGACTGTATGTTCTTAAAGGTTGAGGACTAACTTATTATTACACAATAGATTGGGTCCAGTAGTACAGTTTTCCCAACTTTTACTAGGCTCGTATTCATGGTATTGGGCCTTCTGTTCAAGACCCCACTTTGATATGGGCCAATCCAATTAAACATCCGGGTCAAACTGACCCGCCTCTGCCACCCAGCCCCGGGGGCTCAAAACCCATACAATTTTGTGAGTTTTCTTGTGCAGAAAGAAGAGGATCCTTTAATCTCTCTAAAAAAACCAGAGAAATAGAAAAGGAAAAGTTAAAAGAAGCGAGGGATGGATCCGAAAATCACAGAGGTTACACAAGCATTCGAAATATTTAAAGCTGCGTTTGCGCGGAATGATTTTGACAGGTGTAATGAACTCCTATCCCAGCTCAAGGTACAACTCCAATGACTAAAAAGCCCTAATTTTTCTAAGAAATTTTGTGACTTAGTGAAAGAAAAATTCATTCGTTACTGGATTCAGTTTTTGATTGACTTAATTGAAATGTATTGTGTAGGTGTGATAATATTTTGCTTTTAATGTTATACATTAGATCTATGGATTCTTGCTTGATCCGATTAATTTTGCAATTTATGAACATTTTTATTTTGAATTACTGAAGTTTGTAGTGATTCATGGGGTTGCATTATGCTGAAGATACAACTCCAATTACTAAAACCCCTATTTTTCTGAGAATGTTTAAAGATTTAGAGAAACAGAAACTCGTTCGTTGCTGGGTTTTGGTTTTGCTTGATTTTATCGAAATATATTATGCATGTGTGATAATATTCTTCTTTTGTTGAGATAGGTTTGTTCTGTAGAACAATCCATAGTGTTTAGATCGAGTTAATTTAATCAATGGTAAATGAACTTTACCGTGGGTTATTACTTGCTCATCGAAATTCAAAATGTTACTCTTTACTTACTGAAATTTGCTATATGTTATTACTTGCGCATCTAAATTTAAAAGGTTACTTGTTCATCCAAATTTGAATAAAGTTACCCATTAATCATCCGTATTGTTTCCATAATTGTTATCTATAGCAAAGTTCAATCAGCAGCAAGTAACTTTGTTCAAATTTAGGTGAGCAGCGAATAAACTTTTGAAGTTCAACGAGCAAGTAATAACATATAGTAAAGTTCAGTTATTAATTAGTAACTTTTTAAAGATAGATGAGTAAGTAGTAACTATAGCAAAGTTAAGTGGCCGTTGACTTAATTAACTCGTTTAGATCTAAAGGGTTTTTCTTTGAGCTGATCAGGTCTGAAACTTCTTCTCAATATTTGTTGAATTATGGAAGTTGGTAGTGTTTCATGGGTTTGCAGTAGGCCGAACTCTGAACGTATAATTCCAATGGCTAAAGCCCTAGTTTTTTGAGAATTTTTTATGACTTAGTAAGACAAGGACTCGTTCATTTCTGGGTTTCGGTTTTGCTTGACTTTATTGAAATGTGCATGTGTGAATCACGATAATATTCTGCTTTAGGTATATTAGATACACTTGGAAGAGAAATTCACGATGCTAGATCTAAGGCTTTTTGTCTGAGCTGATTAATTTTGCATTTTGTGCACAATATTTGTTGAATAATGAAAGTTGGTGGTGTTTCATGGGTTTTCAGTTGGCTGAAGGTACAACTCCAATGACTAAAAGCCCTAGTTTTTCTGAGAATTTTTTTGACTTGGTGAAACAAAAACTCATTTACTGGGTTTGGTTTTGCTTTACTTTATCGAAATATATTGTGTATGCATGACTATATTTTACTTTTGGTGTATTTAGATAGGTTTGTAGGATTTAGTAAAGATGTATTTAGGTTATTTGATTAATGTGGTGTTGTGTAGTGCAGGATTTTATGGGTGAAAAAAAAAAGATTATTCTGTAAGCAATGGATGGTGTTATATTTAATGTTTTTTATCTGAGTTTTTGCTTAATACTATGATTGTTGAATTATGGAAGACAGCAATGTTTCATGGGTTTGCAGTAGTTTGACGAAATTAGGTAGTTTTCTGAATAATTTCATAAGAAAAAAGTGGCGCGTCCGGGAATTATTGCTATGTGTTGGGTAGCTACACTCTATCTTGTTTATCAATAATCTCTATCAAGAAAACTTGTAATGTGATTTTGAGTATTATATGTATTCTTTTTATAGAAGCTTGCTGAATGTTTTGAACTCAGAAATTGAGAAGCGTAAAACAATGAGAACATGTGTTTTTCTTGTGTTGCTCACTATTATAAATGACATTTGAGAATAGGAGGAAAATATGAAGTTTTGTATGGTGATAGGAAAGAATGTTGTGGACGTTTAAGAAAACGGAAAGTAAGGTTTCTCTCTCTCTCTCTTATTTTCTTTTTCTTTTTTCTTTCACCGAGTGCTTGTGGAAGGTAAAACTCTTTCAATTCTTGGGATTCCTATTTCAACTCACGAGAGTTCTGTGTTCATTATAGTATTTTATGTATGTTGAGAATTGTTTGGTGCTTTGACAAATAATGACATTGGAATTCTTATTGTGGTTGAAGTTGTTAATCTATGGTGCAATATGTTATTACTGCTGCAGGTTATGCTGACAAAATTTAAGAGTCTACCGCCGTTATTCGAAGAAACGCCAAATTCAATCCATGAATTGACACTAGCAAGTAATATTTCGCCCCTAACTCAACATGAGATCTTTCGTCTAATTCTTCTTGATTTCCTTTGAGATTTTTGTTTTCATTGACTATTAATATTGGTTACTGCAACATTGTTCAGGGGACATATATGAGCATGCAGTTGTTTTAAGTGTGAAGATTGAGGATCTGGATGCTTTCGAGAGGGACTTTTTCCAACTGAAACCTTACTACACAGATGCACAGTAAGTTGGTAACTATACATTTTATTTGTTAATGCTTATGTTACTGTGTTTGTATAGTACATGACAGAAACGGTGGCAAAAAAGGGGGCTGAGCGTTGTAATCAATTTTGCAAATGATCTCTTTTTATTGTACTCGTTCTTTTTTCTAATATAAATAAAATAAGAGGACTTCTTCCACAACTTCTATTAGGAGACAATGATGTTTGAGTTGATCCATACATCACGTATTTTTTGAATATTAAGCCTCCGTTAGTCCGTTTGGATACAAATTTATAAATGGTTTTTAAAGTCAGTCAAAGTTAAATATTATGTCAACGACACATATTAACACTACTCATTACTATCCACACATTTCATAGGACCCACTACTATTCATCTTTATAAACCATTTATAAATTTGCGAAAGAGAGGCTAAATTGATAGTTATTTTTTCTGTCATTGGGGTTGAAAATACAATACACCCCGAGCATCTCCCTTTAGTTATTGCTCAAGGAACCCTGAATATATATCATAAGTCAATTTAGATGCAATAATAATAAATACTTTTACTATTTCTAATTTTAATCTCCATTTTTGTGCTGAGGATATGTGTGTATATATCTTATATTAGACGTGCTTAAGTTCTGAAATCTCGTCTTCAAAGTAATATTATAATGTCATTCATAATGCAAAAGTTTTATCTTAAATTCCCGTTTTGTCACATTTTATTAGAATGTCTTGTCATGCAATCAAGAACTAGGGGCCTATTACTGAGTTTATTCTTATGAATGCAATCAAAAGAATCTTGGACATGTTTGGAGATTCTCCAAAAATGACAATATATATATATATATTTTTTGATAACTGTGGATGTCTGGGCCAGTTTGCGCGCACCTCGACTAATCCCGCGGAGCCTTGAAGTTTACGGCCGGGTACTCACCTCAGTGGTCCTGAGGGGACTTGAACTGATGATCATTGGGGAGCAAACCCAAAACCTGACAAATTGATCAACTCCTCAAGGTTAAAAAAAAAATGACAATATATGATGGGCGTCTAACATGGATACTCTACTTTCTTGGAGTCTCCATGCTTCTTAGATGTACTCATTTTCCACAGTGTTGGGGGTGTTATAAGCGTTGATATAATAAATTGGCACATTATGCTAACCTTTGTTTTTTTTGCTGATGATTCTAATTTTCTGGCGTGTTTACATTTCTGTTTCATTGAATAAGGTGTCTCGCTTTCCAAGATATAACTTAGGAAGACAGTTTGACTATGTCGACTTTTATTTTTAAGACAGTGCTTATTACCATTATTTCATTTGATTGTGCAGTGGCCGTCTTCCAGAGTCCCCTCAGGAGTATCTGATCTTGGGTCTCAATCTTCTGAGACTCCTTGTGCAGAACAGAATTGCTGAATTCCATACTGAGTTGGAATTACTATCTGCTGTTGCTTTGGAAAATCCTTGCATCAAGCATGCTGTTGAGTTGGAACAGTCCTTCATGGAGGGAGCTTATAACCGTGTTTTGAGTGCTAGACAGACAGTACCTAATGAAACCTATGTTTATTTCATGGATTTGCTGGCAAAGACTGTCAGGTATGTTTTTTCATCACCATTTTAGGGATTTCTTTTGCTACGTTTTCTTCTTGGCAGATTTAGAACTAATATTCACCATTTCTTATTAAAAACGGTGGGAAGTGGCTTCTTTAGATATTTAGATAATGCGTCATTTTCATCAACCTACTTGAACAGTTTCATGCACATTATCATGAACTACTAATTACTTTCCTGTTACCTTCAATTTTTTTATCCGCCACATAAGGTAGTCCTTTATGTGGCTGTGCTATACAAAAATTCTGGTTGTATTTTGGCTCTTGAAAGTTTGTTTGTTATTGATAGGGACGAGATAGCTGGATGCAGCGAGAAGGCATATGACAGCCTTTCCATAAAGGACGCGCAGCAAATTCTGCTGTTTTCTTCAGATCATGAACTAGTTGAATACATTAAGAAGGTGAGTGCCTTTCAACACATTGCTCCGAACCTTCACTCTACATAACCCCAGCACTAATGGGGTAAACAAGGTTCCAAATTCGGCCTTCTGGTAATTAAATGGGAGCACTAATTGCTTGTTTGGTAATGTAGATGATATAATACAGGACAATATTAAAGATGAAACCAAAGTTAAAATCTTGTTTATTAAAATGTTAAACCTTGTCTAGCACGACGAGCTTACCATTTGCAATATTCAGGAGCATCCCGAGTGGGAGATCGAGAATGGGTTTGTATTTTTCCAACGAGCCAAAGAATCGGTGCCTTGCAAGGAAATTCCATCTTTGCAACTCATCAATCAGACACTCAGTTATGCAAGGGAATTGGAGCGCATTGTGTGAGGGATGTGCTGCCCTGTCTTTGTTTGTGCTTCCATTTTCTTTATATTTGGTGGCTAATCGCGTTGTAGTATTTCTTAACTACATCACAAAATCCAGAATGACAAAATACTAAAACGTTGTTGGATTTTTTATTATTATTATTTTCGCATTTCGTTGATTTGAATCAATTTTTTGCAATATTAAAACTACTGAAGTCTACGAACTACGAATTAATTAATTTAATTAACACTAATTTGATTACGTACAACTAATAATTTTCCCCTAAGATTAGATGAATTAAATTACGTAATTAAGTTTAATGTAATCTCAAACGGAGATCCATCAAATTAAAGTATTAATAGTTGAAAA